ATTCTCTATTCTGTCGTCTTTTTCTAGTTATTATATTGCTAGAACCCTGGGGATATCGTTTTATATCTATAAAATGACCATCCTTGGGAATTAGGTGGAATTCACAGGGAGATAATATAGATAATATTGATAAATTTAAGAATTGTATTTAATAAAAATATACCATTAATAATATAATAATGATTAGTTATTTTTTCTATTATATATTATTTTCGGCATGACATAATGTTATATTTATCATGGAATATGAAATTTTTATATATTGAAATATTAGTCTGAACATGATATAATATTTAACTTAGGATATAATAATATAAATTTGGATATTATATTTTTAAATATATTACATATATTATATTTTTGGAATGATATGATAATATATTTTATATGATGTGATATTTTCGTCTATATATTCTATTATTATTCTGGATATGATATAAAAATGTATTGGAATGATTCAATATATTCTTTGATATAGATTTAATAATATAAAATACAATTATCAAATTATTAATATATTGAAAAATATATACAAGATTTTTATAAAATGATAAATGAAATAATAATATAAAATTAAGAATATATATATATATTTAGAATATATAAATGATATATTAATGGAGTTATCATTAATTCGATATTAATATATATTATCACATATATAATATATATCGATATATTTGAATATGTTTCTTCTTTGATATCGTAATACGTTTAATTGTCTATGGACCTATTTCTAAATCGATTAGTTTTTTAAATATATATATATTGTTTTCGGATTAGACGTAAATATTAATTTTGTTGAATATTGTTGATTTAATCAATATATATTGTAATATATAAAAAATATATCGAGGAGATAATCCGGTGCAACATTATATAGGCCATATGGATATGATTTTTTTATCCGGGATTTTATAATATGATATTTATGTTTTATAATTTATATTTTGTTGAATTATATTGAATTTATATTTACCCCTTTATTCCATAATGGATATAAAATATATAGATTAATATTTTATTTATTTATTGATAAAAACGAAATATTAATTGTTTATATTTATCAATATGTTTGTTACAAAATTGATTTTCTATATATCTCTTTGCAAGAATCATTACAATAATCAATCGATCGTTCATATATATATATATTTATCATGGGATGGGGGATCAGATGTGGCAGGGTAAATTTTCGCCAATCTTAATTTGATTTTTTTTTTGCCTTTTGCGGGATAGAATTTTGTAACAAAATCATCCCGTAAAATATAAAAATAGTAATAATAATAATAGTGGGAATAATAATAGTAATATTAATATTAATGATAATAGGATATCATTATTAATATTTCTTTTATTACGATACGAATGAATATAAATAATAATAATATCAATAATAACAAAATAGAAATAAATAAATTTAAAGAATATCATCAATAAAATTATTTATTAATATCTTTAAATCAATCATTAAATCAAAATTAATTATATAATTTTGAGCAATATTAAATTTCATTCATTTCACATTCGGCCAAGCTCAGATTTGGTCCTTATTAAATAACCCACTAATGTAAAAAATTCTAGAATTTCAAAGCCTCGTATAAGAAATAATATATTCTTTTTCAAAACAAATAAATATCATTTAATATCCATATATTTCCATTCGTAGCAAAACAACCTTAATCATTACCGACGTCTAAGGGATCGATCCTAAATGCGTAATCATGCCAACGATATAATATTGGGTCCAATTTCAATATTTAAATATATTCTTTTAATATTATTTTTATGCCAAAATATTGTTAATATTTAAATTATTATTTTTTTTTTTTTTTCAATATATATATATTTGTTAAATATATATTTATATATCTATATTGAATTAATTCGAATAAATTTTTTAATAATAATTATATAATTCTAAAAATATATTTTCTATTTTTGCAATATATAATATCTTATATTATTTATATGTTATATTTCTTTCGTTTAAATTTATTTCCGAATAATATTTTAAATATTTCTTTTAATATGTCTAATTCCATTTTACATATTTATTAATATGTGATTTAAATATTCCGTTATTTATGATTTTAGTATAATATATGTTCTAATAGCGGTTCTTTTAATAGTTTTTTTTTTCGGATATTCCTTCTAATATTTTTTATAATCTTCCCTAGGCATCCGAAAAAAAAAAAACTCAAGGCCTATCCTGGCAAAGATCTATTAACAATATGGGTATGGGGTCCTAAATCAGAAATACAAAATAAAATTCCTTCTGGTGAAAATATATAAAAACAATATAAAGTGTACAAAGCCAAGTGATTAGGTTGGGCACCCCACTCGAAATAAAATTGTCCCAAAACCGAGACCACGAATGTCCCAACGCGCGCGTCAATATCTTCACCCGTTTTCAGGCCACTTCACCCAAGCTACAGAATCTAAAACATCACAAGTTAAAACCACTACCATCACAAAGTTTTAGCTTGGCCCTCTGGATTAAATTAAGGCGGGCAGCAGAAACCCAACACAAGAAGCTTCAACAACCAGAGCCCACCAACCCCCACCACAACCTAAAGTCACAAGGGGCTCAACCTCCCCAACAGCAAATACACCATCAAACCAGGCCTTCTTAGTGTTTATTAGAGTTTAGTGGCTTTGGTCTGGCAATCTGGAAAGGTAAAATACTACCCACCTGAGACTGAGGGTTTGTGTTGCTTGGGAAAGCCAGGGTGGAGGTGCTGGCCAAATGTTGGTCTTCAATCCCTTTGTTCAAGCTTTAGCTCGGCCCTCTGGATTAAATTGAGGTGGGCAACAGAAACCCAGCACAAGAAGCTTCAACAACCAGAGCCCACCAACCCCCACCACGACCTAAAGTCACCAGGGACCCAACCTCACCAACAGCAAACACACCATCAAACCAGGCCTTCTTAGTGTTTATTAGGGTTTAGTGGCTTTAATCTGGCAATCTAGAAACCTGCTGCAAAGGTAGAATACCACAGGCTGAGGCCCACCTAAGACTGAGGGCGTGTGTTTCTTGGGAAAGCCGTGTTGGCTAACTGTTGGTCTTCAACCCCTTTGTTCAAGTTTTAGCTTAGCCCTCTGGGTTAAATTGAGGTAGACAGCAGAAACCCAGCAGAAGAAGCTTCAACAACCACAGCCCACCAACCCCCACCACAACCTAAAGTCACCAGGGGCCCAACCTCGCCAATAGCAAATACACCATCAAACCAGGCCTTCTTAGTGTTTATTAGGGTTTAGTGGCTTAGTCTGGCAATCTAGAAACCTGCTGCGAAGGTAGAATACTACAGGCTGAGGCCCACCTAAGATTGAGGGTTTGTATTGCTTGGGAAAGTGGAGGTGCTTAGCCGCCTATACTATAATATAGTTTTAAAATCGCCAGGAGACCATCCTTATGAACAACTATCTAAGTGCCACTCCCTAGCACCTAAATAAAATTCAAGCCCAACCCTGAAGCCTTGAAGTCAGGGTATGTTACCAAGACCTCGAATTAAAGAAAATTCACAGGTTTTTATATATGGAGAAAGTTGCCTCAAGCTCCTCAATTTTGTTATTTCGGTAGCAAGGGCTATATTCTTTCTAGCATCCCTTCTAGCGTTCATTATAGCATTCTATCTAGCAACGGTTCTAGTATTCATCTAATCTTATTTCTATCATATTTTCCGACATCGTTTCAGATATTCTAGAATATCTTCTGATGTTATTTTTGATATTCTTCTAACATTCATTCTGGCACATCTTTTGGCATATTTTCTAGCGTCTCTTCTGACACATTTTGTGATATTCTTTCTGGCGTTCTATAAGTATCTGGCGTGTCTTTTGACTCGCGAATGAGGTCCGGCGGGGAACATTGCCGTCCGGAGCTGGCGGTGAAGTCCGGCGGGCAGCACTGCCGTCCGGAATTGCGATTGAGGTCCGGCGGGGAACACTGCCATCCAGAGTTGGTAATTGAAGTCCGACGGAGAATATTGCCATCCGATATTCGTGGTTAAGGAGGACGAGGAAGAGAAAAGGAGACGAGGGACGAGGAAAGGAGCAAAACAATTGACATAAAATTTAACAACCCTCACCTGATACAGTAGGTGGAACAGAAAAATTACGCAACCCAATCCAAATAAACCCTGGCTTCCACCAAACCTTACGCAACCCTTACGCCGTGCAGACTTTCGCTTACGCGACAGTCTTGCAGTTTAATCGGATTATGTTGTTCTTTCGTAGAGCGCTGCTCAATTGGACCCCCCTAGACTAGACCGTGGATCATATCAATGTTTCTCGTTGATTTTTTCTCACGCTACCTGGCTGGCTGGGGGTGATAGTGATGATTTTTTGCAGTTTCAGCCACAATGGCTGTGGGGAATGTGCGGTGTTGTAAATTTGCAAGTCATAAGGCCCATTCTTTTGCATCACCTCTCCCAGTTGATTGTGGCGGCCAAATTCTCTTCGGTTTGGCGCCGCCTGAGCGCCCTCCTGTCTGGGGGATGATGATCCCGACTTTCTTCGATCTCTTCCGCTCAAGATTCTACAGCTTCGGCCCGCTTTTCGGCGCTCACTGTATTTGCGGTCGGCTCTGAGGTCCGTCCTGCCGAGACCAACATGTTCTCACCTTAAGCACTCACACCTGGGGCCTCCCAAGACGAGCATCCCCAGCTAATCAACTGGCCTGCTTGCTTGCTTGTTGCAGGATATCCACACATGACCGCACTGGCTTTGACAAAAACCCAAATGCAGCATCGGGAACGTTCAACACAATGTTCAAAAAACTTTAAAAACCAAGGAGTTTCTGTAGTTCTTTTGTCAAATTAGAGTTGTAATGAATTGCATAATACACAATACACGGTGTAAAAAAAAAAACTTTTCTGGCAATATGATGCATTTGTGCGCATTTATCGTCACATTTTGTGTTTATTATTTGCATATCCTTTTTAATTACTACTAATTCTTTGCATGGTTTGTGGCTCATGTAAAGCAAGGGCTTTCATCTCCTTATTTCCCTCAAATATACAATACTATATACATATCATATATAATACCAAATTAAACATTTTGCAAGGAATTCTTCAATCATGGAGTAGTCGTCCCATGTGAATTCCATGGTTTGGACCTCCAAGCTGAAAAGGGATAGAATTTGCATCGAGGTGCTCCAAAAGCTTTTCGCCTCAGGACAGGATTGCGCATTTTTTGCCTACATGTGTTCTTTGCTAAATTCCGGAACCATTTCGACGAAGGGTTCCAACATCAATCCTACTGACTATGTACATACACACATATGTATATATATGTATGTATTAGTTGCCTCAAATTTATGTACAAGGAGCTTCTTACTACACGTCCTCGCGACCTACCCCGCCTTAAAACGTTTAAAATACGAACATTGATAACTGGTGAGAATGTCAGGCCGTTCAGCTGAAGCACGGGTGCGGCTTGCATCCACGATTTCAACTTTGCGTTGGGTGACTGGATGTAGCAACTGCTTCAGGATTGGCCACAAAAGCCGCGCAAATGACCATGCCTCGGCAAATGATCGTTGTTCTTTTGTGGTTTGGGGCCTATACACAAAAACAAAACCTTCGCCAAAGCTTTCGTGAGCTTTCGCGGCTGCGAAGGGTGCCTACGCGATGCACCTGTTTATCAAAGGTGCCTACGCGAACGGTGCATCGGACAGATCCTTTTCTTCAGCCAGGGGACATTATTCAATGTCAGAGGCAGGTGAAAATGAAGCAGCAGCGAGCGAAGCAGTGCAAGAAGGCGAGGCAGCTAAGGAAGCAGTTTGACGGCGATGCTTTGCTTGCTTGTGTCGGCGAGCATGAGCTTAGGACAACAAGACTTCTTCTCCACGAGTTGCGGGGAGGCTTTGTGGCTGAAACTCTTCTGGGCCAGGCGGCGTCGAAAGGGGATTGGTTGGATGGAGGTTGTATAGGTGCTTTCACGGAGCTTTCGCGGGCGTTTTTTTTTTGCGGGGATCAGCTTAGATTTTGTGTCTATATTTGCGGCTCCTGCAACAGCAATCGTAAGACTATGGCACAGTAACACAAAGCGCCGACCTCACGCCTCCGCAGCAAATGCATCCTTCACACTTGAACATGTCACGTTTCCACACTATTTCACACAAATCTGACACTTCCTGCTTCCACCCAAAAAGCAAGTTGAGGAGAAAGCTGCCGGACCAAACATTTCATCGCACCGCTCCAGTAGCTACACTGGAATGAAGTGCTGTGAGATTGTGTGCACGCGTGAGATTCATACTTGCCTATACCTATATACTTAACCTTCACTCTATATATATATATATATATTGCTTTCGCGGTGTGCTTTCGCGGCTCAAAAATTGGAAGGTTGCGCGGGGCGTTTTCGCGAGCTTTCGCAGAACAAGAAGCTTCACACATTTGCTTTCGCGGAAAGTTAACAAGTTCCACTTTTGCATGTGCCCTTTCAATTGAGAAAAAACAACGTTGCTCAATGCGTTTTCATTTGGACACGCTGGAGAAAGGACTCGGACCAAAAACGGAGATTGATTCACGCTCGGGGAAAAGCAATCTAGCCCAACTGTCAGTTGATCTGCGGGAACTTGTCGGCACATCAAAATCCTTCACAATCTTGTGGAGATTGCAGGGGTATCTGGAGGTTTAAATCAGGCTCCAGGTATTGCAGGTGTAGTCCACTTTGTACTGTGATATAGTGGTTGTAGGGGTTTGCCCCACCCCCAAAAAGAGCACTAGCTTTGTCACCTCTTGGGTGCACTTGCAAGCAGCGTTTGCATCTCTCTTTGCCTGGGGTTCTCGGCTTCAATTCGCTTGCTCCGAACTGACATGCCACTCAGCTGACTCCCTGTCGTTTCAATATGTGTTTCAAGATTGTTTCAAGCAGTGCCCCAACATCTAAACAATGCTCCCTCATACAACAGGTACTACGGGCACGGTGGTACATGTTGTTGCGCATGGCCTCTAGGGTCTAGAGCTCAATCTACAATTTCACATTGCATTTGGTTTGTATTATGCTGCTTGCATCTTGCATTCTTATGTTTTCTGATTGTTGCGTCCACTCGCGCCACAACTTCTGGAATGGCAGGAGGCAGGTATATAATTCTCCAAGCCAGCTAGGACCGCTTGGGCTTTTGAGAACCCTCCTAGGGGGCAACCTGAAAAGCAAACTTGGAGGTAACAACGTCTGAAGCTTTTGCGTTCTGAAGGAACTTTCCAGCAATATGCGGTACGACACGGTAGGAGTTGCTGCTTCGGCAAAATTTTGGCTTCTGTTGAGGTTCCCTGATCGGCTTACTTTCACAGTATGCTTTCGGCATAACTTCCCGCCAAAGGCAGGGATGTTGAGGGTTGTATTCAATACAGCCATACAACATAACATGAGTATACATTAAATACAACCACTCCTTGCATCTTCGTGCTTGCCACCAAGTGGCTGCATTGACAACCAGAACTCTGTCAAGAGTTTCAGGATACAATATGACTGTCTGTCTCACTGCCACCGCCAGAAAATCTCTGGCAAAACGAATGTGGCCAAGGCCCATGCCCCATAGATCGATGATCCTTAGCATTTTGGATGTTCAGGGCTCAGGGCTCAATTCCAAAGGTACTAGGAGCCTGGAGCCTTCGTTTGTGGATGTTCAAGGATATATTATAACAGGTTTCAGGAATAATATCCTAAACATACTCCTATATAAAACACCTTGAGCGACACAAAGCAATAACATATGGTATAATAGTATAATAGCAGAAAGCAGCCATAGCTCGCAACAACAACAGCAGCAATAAGGCACAAACAAAACTGCAGCCCCATCAACACACATCTTCCGAAGATGTGGACTCTTACTTTAAGTCCCTACCCCCTTCTAGGCACAAAGAAACCGCCCGTTGTTGCGTTTTTACCCCCCACTCCCCCAGAGCAACACCTCAAAAACATTTAAAAAAAACGGACCAACCCCAGCTACTTACGAAACCAACATCCCCCAAGACTTCAACTGTATCCCTAACCTTGTCCCCTTGAAGTTCCAGGGTTGCAATATGTGATAACTATTATTGGCGGCTGTTTTGATTCCACCACCGCCGCCAACAACAACAACAACTTCTCGCCAGGGCACAAAATAATGCGATCTGCGAGGTGGCCCACAGACTCACTTTCTTCCGGAACAGTTTTCCGAAAAAGGCATTCTTCGCATCTGAGAAAACACAGGACTGCAGCATTGACCTCATCCAAAAGCAAAGGTGCGCCTGGCCTTCTGGGGAACAACCAGGATGGTGCAACATATTCTCAGTCAGTTTTTCTCTGGTGGTTTGTGACTTGCACTGTCCTTGGGGGGAGCAATCTATAGTGATGTTTCGGGGTTGCAGCCTTTCGCCACTAGTCTGGAGAGCGTAGAGTGGATGCACAGTTCGATTGAAGGCAACAACTTTGGTTGACCTGGATGGCATCTAGTGATGGCAAACGCAAATGTGCGCTTGCACGCACGCGCACCTGTGCCAACCTGCGTTGCTTGCCACACAGCCATGCACGGCCACGCACAAAGAGGCGATTCCGCACTCGGCCTATCACCGGAGTATGTGATGGCGAAGGTTGAGGCTGCAGGAAGACTACGGCCAAGCTACAGCCTGCTACAGTGGTAACGACTGGAAATACGAAACCATGCACCACCCCATCAGTTGCAGTGCTCAGCAACCTAGATGGTGTGCGCTGTCCATCGCACGATATGAGTAGCGGTAGCGCAGAGAAGGACGTCGCATTTGCTGTAAGAAACATCAAGATCATTCGGTATATTCTGCGCACATGAACCTTCTTCTTCTTCTTCTCCATCGCCCTCTCAAGAGTTTAGCCGTTAGCTAAAGGCGAGCACACAACCCAATGCCAGGAGCAGTTTCTCAGCGGCCAAGCTCGGTGGCTATGGGAAGAGGACAGTGCACTGTTTGCGTGGACTCCCTACCCGCTACTGTTTGCGACGGCAAATTTACTAGTGAGGAGGACAGTGAGGACTTGAAGAGAGCAACAAATCCATGACGTGGGGCATCGATGCAGAACATAGAGGTAAAGGGAGAGGAATAGAGCGGCGGAGACAAAAAGAAAGGGAGGAGCTCTACAAGCTCCTATTGAACCACCTCTGAAAGGTGAAGATCTGTTCTTTGCTGGAGTTCGTGCACGGACTCAGCAGAAGCAAAACCAAGCACCAAAAGAAATAGAAAGAGAGAGAGAGAGGGAGAGTCAAGCTAACAGCCATGCCAGTATTCCTGAGGATAAAAGAGCACTTCCAAATGTTGCACTTGCTAATTGCCCGGACCGGCAACGTCTAGTAGCACCCGCTTCAAATGGCGATGCCAGAAACAGGTGCCTGAATTTAAACGACCCAGCGGTCTGTGATCTGCCTACAGAAACAAGTACCACATATTGCAAACAATGAATTGCTGGTGAAGGACATCTGCAACAGCATGCTCCTGCCCCGTTGATTGCAGCTTGTTGAAAGCTGCTGGGTCTATGCCACCCGTGCGGATTAGCACGATGGGCCTCACCGCTGAATCTGCTCGAACATGTGCCCGTGTTGTGAGTGACGTTTGGCAGCCTCACCCTTGCCAAGGTACTGTCCCCGAGGACCCAAGCCATGGTAGGTCTGAGGCACAACGTCGATAAACGACGCCCAATACCTTTAACGCATGGGGCGAGCACTTGAATAGAGTTAAGCTTCCCTAAACATCCAGGAACCAAATAAATAGTGCGAGCGCTTCTCCAAGGAAGCGTGAACTATCCTGCGTCCATACTAGTAGTAGTAGTAGCTACCTAGCTACTAGCTACCTCTAGCTACTACCTCTACGGCCTCCCCGCGCAAAAAAAAGAACACACACAAAACAAAACCATACATTGTAAATAAAACATAATAAAACACACACACACACACACTTAGATGGTTGCTCGCAAGAGCTAGAATCAGTTGACGAAGTTACAGAAATTAGTTAGTGACTACCTAGCACTTTAGTTACTGAATACCCAGCCCTTGACTTGCAGAACGGAATGACTGCTGGGTCGGAGAGAAGAACTGTTTAACAAACGCAGTAGCCCTTTACCATGCTTCCATACATGAACCACCATGAAAGCAAACCACAGCGAGAACAACAGGCATCTAGTTCTGCAGGTGCGTTTGCACGGGTCCCAGAGGAGGTCTTCGTTGGCCACCGGGACCCCTGTGGCCCCCTGCTTGCAAATCAGACGTGGGGAAATTGGGAATACTCGCATCGGTTTTTTGAAGCACTCGATGACAAAGGTGAAGGTCATGTCTTTTCTTTGTCTTCGGTCTGCCAACCCATGTCTTTAGCCAGCTGTTGAGGGTCTTGAGAGGTCGAAGCTCTTTGGCCGTGGCTAGATGCACGGGGTCATTTCCATCCAGGTCGTCCATCAAGGATGGTTTCCTACATACTTGCTTGCTCGACTTTGAGGAAGTCGAAGTTCTCGAAATGGTCGGGTCAGGGGCCCGGTCGACTACCTTTGCCGAGTGTTGCCGACGACCGCCAGAGGTCAGACTGACGTGGAGTTCAGCATCACTAGACAAAGTGTCCGCCGCAACCGCCTGCCGAGACGAAGGCGACGGAGTCAAAGTCGAAGAAGCCGTCGAAGCAGGAGTTGGGAGGCTCGTAGACGGAGCTGCGGTGAACTCCGTTGAGGGGGCTTCTGGGGGTGGATCTGGTGGGGCACGAGTTTGCGCTGCTTGAGAGGGCTCTTGAGGAGGGGATGTTGATAAATTGGCGGGATTGGTAACTGGAGGTGCGGGGTGGGCCGGAGGGGCTTCCTGTGGCGATATCGACTGGCTGGGCTGTGAGGGAGGCTGAGCTCACGGCGTCCCGGTGAGAGTCACGTCAAACGGTGTGAGTGGCACTAGTGATCTATGCGTGCAACCCGCCTCGATTACTTAGCCGGTGCGACCTATCCATGAACCTGGCCTGTGAATACTTAGCAGCACGACGTGGACATGTGAATACTTAGCAGTGGCATGCGGAAATCCAAACTGGAGTTTGATCTCAGTAAGCCCTGCGGCATTTGATCAGTGGTATCATGCAATGCAGTCGATCAAGGAGGTTGCACAGTGAAGTCCCAGAGCAGAGACGGAGCAATCAGGGTAGGTCCCCCACACTCTGGGTCTATGCACATGCTGCGCCCCTCGATGGGGATCACACCACAGCCCTCAGTGGGACTCTGTGGCGACACACGCTTTGATGGTTGCGCGCAAGAGCTAGAATCAGTTGACGAAGTTCCAGAAATTAGTTACTGACTACCTAGCACTTTAGTTACTGAATACCTAGCCCTTGACTTGCAGAACGGAATGAATGGTGGGTCGAAGAGAAGAACTGTTTAACAAACGCAGTAGCCCTTTACCATGCTTCCATACATGAACCACCATGAAAGCAAACCACAGCGAGAACAACAGGTAACTAGTTCTGCAGGTACGTTTGCACGGGTCCCAGTCTTCGTTGGCCAGGCCCCCTGCTTGCAAATGAGACATGAAACGCAAAACCTTGGAGACAGGTGTTGACACACACACATATATATGTAACACCAGCAATGTAATGATAATGGTCAACAAAAAAGGATCCTTGATTTCAATGTTGAAGTATTTGCTCATCCTGCTCCAACCTCTAAACCTTTGAAACAGGGCACTCCGGTGGAAAGCTTGGAGTGGTCAGGATGGAGTTCAGTCCCAACCTCCAGTGTCTGCCCCGAATCCCCGTGAGGACAGTCCATGCAAGAAGTGCACACTCAAAAAAACATACATAAATATATATATATATATAAAGACTCCCCGAGTTCTCCCCTCTTTTTACCGCAATGCAAGACCTTAGTTGTCAAGTAAAGCAAAAGGAACTTCACTCAAAAATTCCGATTCAAGAGGCCCCTGCCTCTGACTC